CTTCATGGGGTGGCCAAGTTAGTCTGTACAGGAAAAAGCAACAAATGGTCTGCTCGCATTTTATAGACTAACAAAACATGTAGATGGTACCATGAGCTTTCATGGGCACAGCCCAGTGGGAAAGCTTATGGTACCATCTGCATTTTTTGTTAGTCTATAAAGTGCTACCAGACCATTTGTTGTTAATGTCAGTGGTTATTTCATTCAGAGGGAAGAAACCAACTAGAGATAAAAGTGGAAAACAAACTTTGTTGCTTTTTCAATCTACACAAAAAATTAGATGAGAGCAACTATTTTTTACATCTTGAAGCACATGGTGACCAAAAACAACTGGTTTTTTGGGGGGCCCAAACTATAGGGAGGGTGGGTGAGTGGCTCAGTGGATAAGAGCCTTGGGAGCTAGAGGTGGATTGCTCAAGCCCCACCCTCAACCAATGTGGACCTGGCAGCCTTGGGACTTAGGATGGGAGAGGCCAGACAGCCCCCCTAGGGAAGGAGCAATGGAGTTAATGCAGGCTTACTCCTGCCCTGGCCCTGAACTTGGTCTAGCACATTTAAGGTAGGATTATTTCAATAATAGATTATAAATTGGTGTTTGTATATTTTTAATTTAATTTGAATTTCCACTCAAACTAACTTTAATGTGAGTCACAAGTAATTTTTTTTAAATCTAGTAAATAAGAAATGTATCAAAGATCAGAAGAATCCGAATAAATGGATGGTAGGCTATGGAACTGTTAAAATAGAGTGCAGAGGCATAGCATATCTTTCTGTCAGAAAGAAGTACAACTGTAACACCTATATTTAGTTACAAATCTGCATTTTAATGGTTACCAACATGGAATGAGAATTAACATCTTTTTAAGAAATTAACTAATAAAAATAGATTTAAAATCACAGTTTCCTCACTGATTTAATTTTGATTAAAATTGGTGGTTTAAATCCGATCATATTAGTGTCTAGACCCACAGAGGTTTTGTGCTAAAACTGAGTATGTGCTTAAATATTATGTTGAACAGGTCTGAGAGCAGTAGGTGTAGGGATCTCCTTCACATCCAAGCCGTTCTTTTTAGGAGACAAATGTGAGGAACAATCCTGGATTGAGGTGTCAATAGAGAGAGTTTTGGAACAAATTGATGAATTAAGCAGTAATAAATCACCAGGACAGATGATATTCTCCCAAAAGTCCTGAAGGAACTCCTAGGAAATTGCAGAACTGTTAACTGTGGTATGTAACCTGTTGCTTAAATCGGCCTTTCTGCAAGATTAATCCAGGATAGCTAATGTAAGGCCAGTTTTTTATAAAGGCTTCAGTAAGCCTAATATCAGTATTGTGCACACTGATTGAAATGAGAGAAAAGAACAGAAATATCTGACGCTTGAATAATGTGATGAACACTTGAAGAGAACATGCTGAGAGAGGATTTTGTTAAGGGAAATCATGCCTCCCCAATCTCTTAGAATTCTCTGAGGGTGTCAAATGCTGAGTGAGAATAATCCAGTGGCTATTGAACCAGTGTACTTGGATTTTCAGAAAGCCTTTGACTAGAGATATAAAATCCCTTTTAATCAGTTAACTGGTTAAACGGGATCCCATGGGTAGGGGGCACAGCTGGACTGGCGCAGCCCCTCCCCCCCCCACCTTGCGCTTCTCCCGGACGCTGGTAACCCATCAACATCCCTGCCTTTGACAAGATCCCACATGAAAGGCTCTTAAGCAAAACAAGTATTGTGTGAGCTTGTCATGGATCAATAATTGGTTAAAATGTAGGAAACAAAGGGTAGGAATAAATTGTCAACTCTCACAATGGAGAGAAATCAGTAGCAAGGTCCCTCAATGATCTGGACTGGATCAGTACTATTCAACGTAGTTACAGATAATCTGGAAAATGGCTAAACAGTGAGGTGGCAAAATTTACAGACCATGCAGAATTACTCAAATAGTTAAATCAAAAGCTGACTCTGAAGAGTTACAAAGAGATCTCTTTAAACTGTGTGAGAAGAGAATGGCAGCTGAAACTCTGTGTTGATAACTGCAAAGTGGTGTGCATTGGAAAACCTAATCCCACCAGTGGTCTACTGATATTTGATGTTGGGAAGGAATTTTCCCTTCGTACAGATTGGCAGAGATGGTAAGAGTTTTTCATTTTCTTCTGCACCATGGCGCACAGGTCACTAGTAGAGATGTGAATGGTTAACTGGTAAGCATCACTCTTACTGAGTGATGCTTACCGGTTATGGTCAACAGGCAGGGCTGGAGCAAGCACCCACTTGCTGAGGGCAGGCAACTGCTCCAGCCCCATGGGGTCCGCCGTGGGCAGGGTGCTCCAGCCTGGATGGAGCAGCCCTTGTACACAGTAGGTCTGGCCTGGACACACCAAGAGCAGCCCCTTTCGTGGCATGCCTGAGCCCCATTTAATTGGTTAACTGGTTAAACATTTAACCAGTTAACTAAGTACATGGGATTTTACACTTAGTCACTAGCAGGCTTGAGCTCGAGTAAATGGTGGGTTCTCTGGTAATTGAAGTCTTTTACTCATGGTTTGAGGACTTCAGTAATTCAACGAGAGGTTAGAAGCATAATGCATGAGTGGGTAGGTGAGATTCTGTGCCCCCAATATGTAGTCGGTACCTTCTGCCCTTAAAAACCGAGTCTATGAAAATGCCAAACAGTAGAAGAGATCAGAAGGAGTTGCATGTAGGACATTTCATCTGCAGGAAGGTTTAACTCTAGGTGTGGAATCCTAGAGCCATTGTAGTTGATGATTGCTTTAATGGAGCCATAATGTGTGTCTAGATTTTCAGGTGAATGATCTTTATAAGAGGAAGTTTGGTATTTGGTCCAGTTGGTTGCTATGAGTGGAGTAACTTTGTGTTCATACACAGCCTTTATTTTGTGATTTTCATTTACAGTGAAATTTAATCAGAGATAATGAATTGGCACTGTGAAATAGAAGAGCTTCCTTTGGTGCAACTTGAGTCCACATAAACTGTGGTCAGTTTAATGTTTTTAAAATCAGGTTGCCATAAATGTCAGTTATTCTGCATGTGTATAAATTGTTTACAGTATATTAAATGTGTACTTTAATTACAGATTTCATGCTACAATATTTGTGACTGATCCTAGATAAAGTAAAAAACAGAAATATAAAATATACCAGTTTAATGTGCCATGTTAATCTGATTATTTCCAAAACCCTTCAAGAGGTTGATTTTCCCCTCCTCTTGAAGTCACTACCAAGGATATTCAGCCAACTCAGAGCTACTTCTACTCTTAACTCCATGCTCCAAAAGCACCATAATATCTAAGGCAGCAGTGTGCAATGCATAAGTGGGCCACCTCCATTTCCGTGAGCTGCAAGATTGTTGTAACCCAGGTGGTCTCCTGGCATAACTGCACTTGGGTACCTAGGGTTTGCGAGGTGTGCCACTTAAACTAGCAGTGCTTAATTGGATGCAGAGGGCGCACACGGCTCTGTCAGTGTTGTATGCAGTCCGCAGGTGCCTCACCTGAATGTCACTATAGTGATACCAGCACAGTCTGTCCAGCCTAGGTGTGGGCAATGGTAAACAAAATGTCTCATGGCCCACATGTAGAACCCTGATGGGTGGTGCACCACAGTCAGAACTGCCCCCCACTGCCCCCCACTTACCTGTGCAGGTTACATGCTGGCTTCCCGGGAGCGGGCCCAGCAGGGGTAGTCTTGGGGAGCCAGCCTCATTCGTTTTATTTTAGAGCATGTTAGACAGACATCGATCAGGGATGATCAGATGGTGCTGGGCCCTGCCGGGAGGGCAGGGGATTGGACTTGATGGCCTCTCAAGATCCCTTCTATGATTGCATAGAAACTCCTGGGGAGTTTACGCAGCAGGCTCTGCAGTATAAAGCTCTGCAGCCCGTGTAACTGCTGGGGTTCCTGGTGGTTACATTTTTAAATTACTTTTTATATCCCTTGTAGGTAACGGGGGGAGGGGGTTATTGCAGTTGAGCTCAAGGTACTTTTTTTTTTTCATATGGTTTGATTGGTGCATTTGACACAACTCTGCATAGTGTTTCCTGTGCTCTCAGGGGCCTTTCACACAGTTGCAGGGGAGGGATGTTTTTAATGATAGGCAAATATAGTTGGAGGGCCTCAGATTGGCAGGGAAGTTCTTTTGCAATTGGCTAGATTTCACAAAGGCTATATCACTGTATAATCAAAATGTTACACTTTATCTGTATCTTGGCAGGCAGCGCAGAGGAGGAAACGGTAGGTAGGCAGAGAAGCCTTTCTGGTAATTGAGCTGTCATTCTGATCTATCTGTAGTCTTTGGTAGCCCTCCAGGTACATTGTAGCAATTCGACCCTGATGTCATCAAGGGCAGGTACGCTGGCCGTTGGATCCACAAGGGAAGAGAGATGGCTTTAATCTAGTGGTTTACTTGAGAGAGCAAATTCTTGCCTTGACCAAAACTGATCGCTGAATTTCTAACAGCAACCTTTTGACCAGGACCAGCGTCAGGTTTCTGACGTGACTCATTGTCAAATATTGGAGATGGTTTTCTGCTCACATTTTCTATTTGAAACAATGTTTGTAACTTTTTGTGTTTGCTGAGATTGATCCAGCTGTGGCTTTCAGTGATGCACTCATCTCTGGCCTATGTGGACTGTATGAGTTGTATATGAGAGTCATTTTAATTTTACTGTGATTTTTATCCTAAGCTATTTCCTCGAGCCCAGTGTTTGATGAGCTTTTTCACTTTCTTTACTGAAAGTAGCATGTGGTGTCTGGCATTCTGAGACTTTCCTAGTTTCTGAAGGTCATCAGTCTAGCATAGCTAGGATTACATCTGTCTGTCATTTCTATGTCCTAATTTATGTCCTAATTATCTGCATCTTATTGAGTTAATTTCTTTTGCAGTGTAATCTATATAATGTACAATAAGTTTGGGGCACAAGGTGTATGATAAGAATGGAAATTGCATAGGTTGGGGAAATGTCTTGATTACCATTAGTAAAATAACAGACACATTCTTCTTTTGCAGGGTAATCACTTTGATCAGTATGAAGAAGGGCACTTGGAGATAGAACAGGCATCTCTAGACAAGCCAATAGAATCGGTAAGATACAGATATCATCATCATCCTCAGCCCACCAGCAAATTAGACAGTGATCGGATGGGTCTTGATGTGAATGCAATTAAATTTGGTGCAAATTGTGTGGAAATAGCAGTTTAGGGGTATTCTTTTCTAATATAGTTGCATGTCCTTCGTTAATGTTCTGTGGGCGTAGGCTTTAAGTAGAACTTTTTATAATCTAGGTTACTAAAAAAAATAGTTCAGCTTGATATTTGAAAACCTATTTGAAATTATAAAATTGTTTATGGGAAGTTAGTTTGCTAATTATTGATACATTTTGTTGAGAAGTTAGCTTATTTTTGTCAACCTAATGAAACAGGAATAAAATGTATTTTGATCCTTTTAGCTTACATAGTGATCAACTAGTGTGTATAACAGCTCAGTAAATGCTAGAACTACTGTAGCAATGAGGAGAACTGAATTGTAATTGATATGTTAAACTTGTCCCATAAAATTATATTTCACATAAAACAACATTCCTGTGTAGCTCTTTTGAGAATGTCATTTTACTTTTAGGTAAAACAGTTGCTGATGAACTGCAGAGTAGGAAAAGATAGACTTTTGGGTAGCTTTTCTTTTAAGCTTCTTCTGAATCTTTTAACATCGTCTTTGCAAAGTATCACGTGCTAGTCTCAGATGTACAGTAACATTTCTTCTTATGCTGTCTAAATTTCTCTAGGAGGTCCAGCATTTAACAATAGTGCTTAGATGTAAATATTCATTAATAGTCTCAGTGGCATGAAACATGATGGAAAAATAAAGGGAACCTTACTGGTGGTCTGATCTAAGCTAGATTTTTATTAAAAATTAGCTCTTTTCAGATAGCATTTAACCCAAAGAAACTTAAATTTAATTATGAAGTTTCATCATTTTAGTGTGCACTTTGTAAACTGCAGTGTTAGCAAAGGATCAATATATATTTGCATTCCTATGTAGGTTAGTGTGGGGTGTGTGTGTGTCTGTGTCTGTGTGCGTGTTTAGATGTTTACAGAAATTTACACAACTTGGGGTGTTCGACATTTTTCTTCCGCAGCAGTTGGCCCATATTAGCTAAGCAGCCATGATCTGGTTTGTATTGCACGGTCTGCCTTTTTTAATTTCTGTAGGGTTTCCTTTCCCCTTTTTTTTTCTGTTCTTCTGGTCCAGTGAACACTGCATACAGTACCTATTGTCTTATTGTGCTGGCATGATGCTAGATTTAGGCATGGCAGTAATTGATGACGCATGAGATAATGCTGCAGGGGGGAATTTGCATTCGATGTTCTGCTGAATAGTTCAATTTTGTGTTGTGACATGAGAATCTTAACTGACATGCCAAGCCTACTTCCCTGTGTAAACATCATGAGAAATAGCCAGAGTTGCCATCTATTCCATACCATTTAAGGATGATCATTAGACAGATTATTCAAATGTGATCCACAGGCTAGACCAAGATCTTATTTTTGCAAGTGTTTGTTTTTCCAGAATAGAGGAACAAAGCATGTGGGTGACAGATTAAAACACTGCATGTATGTTCAAAATTTAAATCTCTTCAATTTAAATCTCTTCTGGCCATTATTATATAGAAAATATATAATACACAATGCCTGGGACAATACGTTGCTAGGTGAACAGTGTATGTGATATTCAGCTACAGTTTGAGGAGACTCAATAGCAGCTGAAACCTTAGGTTAAATAACACCAGAAGTATTTGTTCCTGCATACATTGTAGTGCAAGTATAGGGATGTTATCAAATCTAAATACTTTAAAGGTTTGTGTATATAACATGTACCCAATTGTAAGCAGCATTGACAATACTTAAAAACAAATTTGGTGGGGAAGACAAAAGAAGATGGTCTGCCTTTTTTGGACGTGGGCTGGGAGGGGGCAAAACTCCAAAACGGCTCCTACCCTAGAACCCAATTGGTTACGCTTTTTTCTTCTGTCTGTAGAAAGATAGGGGGCTGTTTTAAAAATAATATTAAACATTTAGAAATGCAGGAATTGGATTACGTTGCATCAAAGAGAACCTTAGAGAACAGACTTTTAAAACATTTGGTTTTATGATCTGTTGAGTCAGGTGTGTGTTTGTAATATATTTACCTCTCCAAAAATACTTAATCCCCACTTGTCTGATGCTGTAGCCTCATAGTTTTATAGATTTGTCATATATATATTAAAAACTCCTGGGAGAATTCTGCAATTGGAGCCATAGTAAAATTGCAGCATTTCCCTAGGACTCTGTGTATTGCCAGTAATTTATTTTTGGGGAGATAGGCATTTAATTTTTTTTTTGAGACAGGCAGTTAAAAGGGAAAAAGGTAACCAACTTTGTTTTAGGTTAGGAATCAAATTTTATTTCTTGAAAAGGTGAATCATCTTTGTCTTCTCCACTAAATATGTTGTTAGTGTTTACAGCTATTAAACCCAATATAACTTTACAGAAACTGAAATGAGTAAAAATTGCTTAAGATTCCAAATTAACAGATTCTATTTGTAATCTTTACAATAGCAAAATTACAGATACATTTTAAGTAAGTGGGAGGAGGCTTTTTACCTGCTAAAACCAGAGTTTAGGGTTCTGTGTTCTCCTGCAAGAGTTGGATCTCATACCTAAAGCAGCGTGGAGCATCACAATTCTTTCTCTGCTTTGGGTGTGTGTTATATCATTGGCTTTCCCAGAAGAGAGAGTAACAACCATGAACTGATATCATGAGAGGTAAGTAGTGGGAAATCATTTTAAATATTTAGTTTTAAAACGTGCTGTATTGAAATTTACCAATTTGTTCTATTAGTGACTTATGATCTTAAGCAATTCTATTAACATTTCAATTCACCTTTAAGAAAGAAATTTAGCTGGTAGCAGTACTTAGAACCCAGTCCTGCACCACTGAAGTCAATGAACATTTTGCCATTCAGTGCAGTGGAAGCTACACCTGAAGCCCTATGTGTCTTTATTAAAAAAGAAAAAAGAAGTCTTGGTTTATGCAGTGAATATGTTATAGCATTTTTCAGGTAAATTTTAGGACTACTATGGAGAATCAGCAGTATTAAAGTACGTTCTACTAAAATAAATGGATCTCTTTAAAAGATTTTCAGATATTCAAGGGAATCCGAAAACGGAAGCCTAGTAACTGTATACAACTTTTGGAAATCCCTAGGGAGAGTGGCTTTGCTTGGAGCATACATTTTGAGTATCATTGCTGAATTTAGCTCCATCTCTGCAGCATTATCTGTAGAGAGATGCTGACCGTACTGCTACAGCATGCAGCTCAAAGGTGGCCGGAATCTTATAGGTTTTGGAGTCTACAGATCATTACACTGTTTAACCATGTATTGAATGACTGTATTACATATTTTTTAAAAGAAGAGTCTGCAGCAGCTAGTGTCCGTGGAAAGCCTACATTGTGCTGCTAGTAGAGACCAAACATACCTCTGGACTTAGACATGATGAGAGTATAAACCAGGTATTTCTTCTTACAGAAAGGTAGGGTTAGAAAAAGCAGAATCAGAGGAAGTCAGAGGTAGAACAATAAAGGTAAAGCCATAAGAGGACATCAGATTACAAAATGTTACAAGTTAGTGAAATGATATCAAGATTTATTTTGTTCCTTCAAACCAAAACAAGAAAATACACTTTTAATAGTTTGAAAGGTGTTTTATGAGAGAAAGTTCTTTAACAAAAATTAATTTTTCCTTGGTTAAATGAGAGCCAACTATTCTACATTTCATAAAAGGGGAAAAAATAGCCAATATAGATTTATGCAGAAGTGTAAGTTATTGGTCATAGTTACAAATCAGATGCCCATGGAAGTTTTGAAATAAGTCTGCTTTTTCAGTTCTGTAATGAGCTGCACGCACTTGATTTGACACATTCTAGGAAGGTGCGCAATGTCCAGATTATGATGTGTGCACTTATCAAATACTACTGATTCGCAAGAAACTTTCTTGTCCTTTGTTTTACTAAAGAAAAACGTTGAAGAGAGTTTAGTTTTTTGTCATGATAATATGATTTCAGGAGTTCAGAAGTAATATTAGGCCTGTTCTGTGCTACACAGTTCAATGTAAGCGGCTCGTGTTGAAGTAATTGTCAGTATATATGCTCTAGCTTTGCCTCTTGTGGAGGTGGTTATGCCTGTATAGTTAGGGCAATGCAGTGTCTGTGTAGGCACCGCTTTACCTGCCTCTGCTCCTGACTGTATTGTCAATTTCAGGACCCCATACTGGAGGTTTGAAATTGACAAGAAAGAAATTCCCATACTGGAGGTTTGAAATTGACAAGAAAGCCCAGATGGGAGTATGGGAACCTGCGCAGAGCTGAGAGTTCTTGCCCACTATACACATGTAGAATGTCAGAATAAAATCAGGTTGTCATTGTCACAGGTTGAAAGGAGACAACACATCTTTCACTCACTCTAAGCCTGTTATTAGTTTGTTCTTGTCATAACTAATGAATGGCTTTGTTCAGTTGCTTGAATAACTCCTTTGAAACACTCCCGAGATTCAGATTCCAGTTGTTACTTGAAGATCACAGTTCAGTCCTTTCATTAAAAACCTACAATAGCTTGGGAAGTTGGCTTTTGCCACATGGTATATCTGTGCAGATCTGTGGACTCCACTATTTCCAAAGTGTAACCTGATAAGACTGCTGATTTGACATTTAGCGATGGCCATAAATGGACAGCACTATAAATAATGTGAGTCTTGAAGCTGAATGGTGTAGCATTACTGTTTGGCTTTTCTCTCCAATTTTCATTGTGTCATCTGTAGTGAGCTATAGGGTTTGTGTTGGAAATCTTTAAAACCTCTTGTTTGCATGGGTTCACCCAGTGGCATCCAGTCCTTGCTTATAGATAACTTGATACACAGTCAGCACAACTTACAATCCACTCGAGGTGTATGGTTTTGTCTATGCTGAAATGAGGTTAATAGTAACAAACAAATGGCTCAGGAGAGGGGACCTTGGGAGGAGAGGGGCTGTTAAGCAAAATTACCCTTTGGC